GGCGGTTTATGTTAATAAAATCCAGTCTCTTAGCCGAACATCACAAGAAAGGTTGATGTCCACTATTGATAGTGTATGTTGCATAGCTGCAAAATATCATTTTTTATCAGTCGTACATCATATAATAATTAATCAACGTGATTATCATATTTTACGTAGGTGATGAATAGATTGGGTACTCTCCAACCGCATAAAAAGCCACTGGTGTTTGTCTCGTAAGCACATATGCGTTACATATTCTTTATTCTTATTTCTCCAACGTTCTCATTATCCATATAGAAGATGAATTAAAACAGATCGCCACAGAACACAGGAGACTTGCAGCTGAGAAAGATGCACTCGAAGGAGCTCACCAGGCCTTAATGGAAGAACATACACAATTGCGCAACCAATATGTATGGATCACGCATTTATCAATTAGTCCTTTAAATTTGACTGCGCCTTATTAATGGTAACCCAACTTTCATAGGATGATTTAAAGGTGGAAAATGAAGAATTAAACCTGAAGTCTAAGGACTTGGAATTGGTGAAAACCGAAATCGAAACCCTTCGTCATGAATTGCAAGTATAAATTTACATTTGTTTTTTCCTTGAAATATGCATTTTGTCATAATCTAATCATTTTAATAATGCAGGTCTCTTAGCGAAAGTAAATGCCGTGAAGTTGAATTATTAAAAAGTCAATTGGAGATGCATTTAAGTACTGTGGATAAGCTGAAGAAAGCAGAAAATGTTATTGAATTATATAAAGCGAAGATTAGAAATTTTGCAGATATGCGAAGAACATTTAAGGTATTTATCTAGAGAAAACAATGTTATTAAATGTCGTCATCTAAGGATTACCTGATTTTTATCAGAACCTGGAACAAGAGAATCAATCTCTCATTGAACGTAACAGAGTAATAGAAGATGAATATCACAAAATTGCAGCTTCTAAATCCTCGGAAAATAGCCGTACACAACAAGTTGCTGATTTTCAACTCGAAAAGATAGAATTAATAAGCCAGAGGAACAAATATGAGCACGAATGCAAGCACCTGCGGGCAAAGATCGAGGCATATGAAGTAGCAAAATCTCGTGACATGGATACAATACGTCTACTAGAAGATCGGTTGCGTGAATTAGAACTAGGTAACAGCAAGTTCGTGTCCTAATTCAGTTTTGAAAGATAATCAATCTGAATCTTCTTTTGTGCATAGGAGAAGGGTTAACGGATGAAGCAAGCCAATCCATTTGTGAGATATCCGGAGCTTCAAAGGATGATACTACAATCGGCCTAAAATTGAATATTAAAGAACCCGAATCCGAGTTGGTCAAGTATAGCGGAAAGGTAACATCTAAATTTCTTTTTGTTCTCGAACTCTGTGTAGATAACGTACACGCTTTTATTGATTTTCTTCTTGAACTACAGGATGTTCATCAGTCTATTTCGCCTGCGAAGACTGATCCGACAAATCAAACAATAATAAGTCTCGAAGATAGCGCTGATGATTGGGAATACCTTTAATGAGACTTTGAGACTTTGTCTCTGATTTATTCAAAAATTAGACTAAAATATTTATAATTCCTACACTTTCATTAAAATCTACATTATTAATCGGAAATTTATACGAGCACACAAAAAAAAATCTCTCTTAAATTTTATTGCTTCATATCAATTAAAATATTTATTGGATTTGATAAATATTATATTGTTTTCTTAGAGTATTACCATCTTAAGAGATTGAGCTATAGTTTTTTTTCTTCAGATTGTATATTGATCTTACCTTTTGATTGATATGAATAATAAATTTTTTAGCCTACTAATTTAATGCTTTTAAAAATAGGCATGACACTTCTTAAGCATTATTCTCTTTCTATATATTCTTGAATCTTGTTATAGATACAGTTTCACTTAATAGATTCATATAATGTGTTGTTGGAGTTCTTTCTTGATTAAGGTACTAATGTAGGAGAGACTATGTCCTATATCTACTTACATCTAGCCTAGTATTTTACAATGAATTTCAAGTTCTTATAAAGCTAAGGAAATGCATTCAGATACATAAGATAACCAATAGAAGCTTGTTTTCTACTAATCAATCACTGCTTGAGAAAATTTGTGTTACTTAAAATTCAGGATTAAACTAAGGTAGGCAAAATTCTTCAGAAAACTGAGAAAAAGTATTCTTAGAGCAAGCATATGACAAGAGAGTGGATGGTTGTCTTCAAGATAAGTCTCTCATTATAAGAAAAGCTCTATATTGTTTCTTTAGTAAATTAATAGGTAGCAGCACTTCAGTTCTTCTTCCTTTCAAAACTTTCTTGCTATTGATAGGAAAGGTGTATTCATGAC